CCTCTAGCTCCCACTCTTCACACCCCATCCCCTCTAGCTCCCACTCCTTTCCTCCATTTAATTTTTCAAGTTCCCAGAGTCTGTTGTGAGTATTGGGGTCTTCAGCTGCTTTTCCCACTCTGCCCTCACTCCCTCCACATCCCCAGCCTTGGTCCACTGCTTGTCTTTTGCAATGAGCCCTGTTTTCCTTTACCCTGGGTGTGACCTTAGCTGATGACCCCAACTCTGCATTGAAGTCCTGGACTCCATCTAGAGGTAGACAGTAGTAGGTGCAGCTGGTCCTGGTCAACTGAACACCTGCACTGACCAATGTCTGCCACTAGATGGAGGCAGGTCAATCTAAATGTACAGGACAACAGATGAGCTTTTTAAAGTTAATTGTACAACACATTGCGGTAATTCATATTATTTTGCAAGTTATTTCAGCTGGAAATACAAAGTACTGGATATGCATAGTGCAGTTTTCCAGCCTGAACCCAACTCTGGCTTTAACATTGTTTTTTATGCAAAGCCATCTCTCACTTAAAGTACCTCCATTTAAAGTCACCATTTCCAGGAACACAACCACAACTTCAAGTAGGGACCTGCTGTAGGGTGTTAAACCCAACCTAACTCCTGAACTGAGACCTCCTTCTCCATCAAGTCACACTGCACTTCATTCCAGGGTCTGATTGGGCTGTCGCCCTGAATTCAGAAACCTCTCTGAGACAGTCTCCCATTTGTGATTTTCTCCAGCCCATAACCCTCCGAGACCTTTGCACACCTCCAATTCATGCCTCTGGAACATTCCATTACTCCACCACGGACACCCATCCCTTCAGCTACTTGGGCCTTAAGCTCTGATTTTCTCTCCCTAAAACTCTGCCTCTCTACATCACCTCCCTTAAAATGCTGCTGAAGGCCTACCCTTCGACCAGGATTTTGTCCATCTGACTTAATAACTCCTCATGTTACAATGTCAGATTTTGTTCAATAAATTTCTTGTGGAGTGCCTTGAGATGTTTCCCTCCATTAAAGGTGCTACATAAATGCAAATTGCAGTTGTTAAGAACGTTACCCAGCAACTCACTTGTAAATCTCCTCAGCTTTTTCTTTAACCTTTGATTGTTCTCCATGCTTTAAATCTTCGCACGCTTCCCAGAATGCCAAGTTCTCTCCTAAAATGTAAACATTAACACTCGCCCATCTGTCACACCATAGATATAGACACAAGATAAATAGATACAGTTCAGAAGATAGTAAACTATTTTTAAATATTTAAAAATATGAATAATATACAGCTCAAACAATCAACAACAAATCCACTGACCAAGCCTCATGCCACCCTTCCTCAGCTATCTCTCCATCAGGATAACCCTGTCTTCCCTTTTACCCCACATATGTCTAGATTCCCATTAAATACACCTACCCTAATCACCTCAGCTATTCCCTGGCAATGAATTCCACATTCTCAAAACCCTTTTAAGGCATTTCTTCTGAATTCCCGTCTTCCTCGAATTCAAAATTACATGTATGAAAAATTAAATTTTAAACTGGGAGAGTTTAGACCTCGGGGAAATTGTTTAAAAGTAACAGCTTATAGAATAATGAGACACGATTACCACATGATTGTGTCCAGATCTAGAAAGAAGTAGAAGCCCCACCAGAGTCTAAGAAAATCTGTCTCTAACAGGAGGGATGTATCCGCTCTGCTGCATACAAAGAGTTTTGAGGAAAGCATCTTGGAATCATGGTCAGTACATGGGGAACGAAAGCTAAAGGGGAAGACAGGGGTATATCACTGGACGGGGGATCCTGGGCTGATGTTCTGGGAAAGTGGGTTCAAATTCCAATGTGGCAGATAATCAGACGATCAGAGGTCTAGATAGAGTGGACAGCCAGAGACTTTTTCCTAGGGTGGAGGTAGCTGTTGCGAGGGGGCATAGTTTTAAAGTGAGTGGAGGTAGATACAGGGGAGACGTCAGAGGTAGGTTCTTTACTCAGAAAGTGGTCGGGGCGTGGAATGCATTGCCAGAAAGGGTAGTGGAGTCGGCCTCATTAGGGGCATTTAAGCGGCTATTAGATAGGCATATGGATGATAGTATAAGGTAGGATTAGGGTAAAGGTTCTGCACAACATCGTGGGCCAAAGGGCCTGTACCGTGCTGTACTGTTCTATGTTCTATGTTCTATAACAAAACCAGAAAACGTTAGCCTCATGATGACCACATAACCATTGTTGATTGTCATAAAGGAAGGGTGTTTTGGCCCTGGAGGGAGTTCAGCACGGGGTTACAAGGATGATACCTGGACTTCAGCGGTCAAGCTATCAGGAGAGTATAGGCAAGTTAAGCCTTTATTCTATAGAATTTAGAAGATTAACGGCGATCTCATTGAAGTCTTCAGGATGTAAACAGGGAAAGAAAAGATAGACAAAGATAAACTATTTCCACTCGTTGAAGATTCTATAACCAGTGGGTACAGTCTGAGAATGAGGGCCAGGCCATTCAGGAGAGATGTTGGGAAGCACTTCTACACACAAAGAGTAGGGGAGGCTTGGAATTCTCTTTCCCAAATGGTGGTCAATGCTCCTTCAATTGATAAATTTAAATCCGAGACAATTTTTTTCTTAAGCAAGTGTACAAGGCAAGCATATAGGCCTAAGGCAGGCATATGGAGTTAGGCCACAGATCAGCCATGATCTTATTGAATGGTAGGGCAGGATTAAGGGGCTCAATGGGCTACTCCTGATCCTATGTTTCCATATTTCCTTTGTTCCTATAAAAATCCATTTGGTTCACTAATGTCCTTCAGGGAAGGGAATCAGCTGTCCTCACTTGGTCTGGCCTATGAGTGACTCCAAACCCACAGCAATGTGGTTGACACTTCATTGCCCTCTGGGTAATATGGGATGGGTGATAAATGCTGAACTAGCCAGCAAAAAACGCAAGAACAAACTTTAAGAAATAAGACAGACCAAATAAATAATAAAACAGAGACAGTCTATAGAATTCTCTTCTTCAGAAGCAGTAGAGGCTGGCTCACTGACTATTTTTAAGGCTGAATTAGATGGTTTCTTGACTGACAAGGGACTTGAAGAGTACAGGGGGTAGGAAGACAGTAAGATCAGACAATCTAATCAGTCTTATCAAATTGAGGGTCAGGCTTAAGGGGCTGAATGGCCTACTCCTATTGCTAAGTCATATGTTCATACATATAACATTATTTGCCCAAGCATTTTGTAGTCCATATCCCAAGTCTCACCAGGTACTTTAGCAACTTGAGAAACACAGGCCAATAAGAGGTCATTCTTGCTGCACTTGCTGTTACAACTCACCAGTTTCACACCCCAATGGAATGGCCCCTCAAATAAATTAACCTAAATAGATGCCAAGCTTTGTATCCCTTAGCATCAGTCACCACAGACTCAGAGAACATCATAAAAACCAAAAGAACCGCGGATGCTGTAAATCAGGAACAAAAACAAAGTTGCTGGAAAAGCTCAGCGGGTCTGGCAGCATCTGTGGAGGAGAAAACAGAGTTAACGTTTCGGGTCCACAGAGTTCTGAGGAAGGGTCACCGGACCCGAAACGTTAACTCTGTTTTCTCCTCCCCAGATGCTCCCAGACCTGCTGAGCTTTTGCAGCAACTTTGTTTTTGTGTCAGAGAACATCATATTCCTCTACATATGTCTGAGCCGGTCCTGACAACATCTGCTCTCACATACCGCTGAATTCCTTTTTGAGGAAAAGCTCAAAATTCTGACGGCCTCTGGGATCCCTCATCAGCTCAGCAAAGCTGAAGGTCCAGCGCTCCACTCTCAGCTTTGTTGGGTTGTCTGCCCTGCAGCCATCCCGGGAGCAAAATAAAAAGGTGGCAGTCATTAGTCACCTCTCAACTGCAAGCAAATCCCTTTAGAAAGGAAACTGCATGACGTTGCTGTTCTGCAATGGAGATAAAAAGAAGCATCACGTTCCAGTGTTTCTGAAACTTACAACCACAGCCAGCGCACTTACATTGGAGTGTTGAGTTCCCAAAATGTTGTGTCATCGGTGAGCCAAGGATTGCTAGGGAGGCATCCCGACATTATAGGATCATGGGTAAAATACTGCTCACAGTATTTTACAATTCTGGAGGAAAGGAAAGAAAATGATGTTTAGTGCATTACAATATAATAAACACCACAGAGGTAATGCAGAGACAATATGCGAATATTTACCTTGTTAAGTGTTGTGCATGTGTGCACAACTTGTTATCATGTTTTACATCAATTTTTCACATGGGTATATGAATAGGAAGGGTTTAGAAGGATACGGGCCAAATGCTGGCAAATGAGACTAGATTTATTTGGGATATCTGACAATTTGGACCAAAGGGTCTGTTTTCATGCTGTACATCTCTATGAGTCTACAAATGTAGGTGTCTATGGTTACACAGCCATAGTCATAGAGTCATACAGCATGGAAAAACCCTTCGATCCAATTTGTCCATGCTGACCATAATCCCAAACTGAACTAGTCCCACCTACCTGGGCTTGGCCCATATCCCTCCAAACATTTCTAATTCATGTACTTATCCAAATGTTTTCTAAACAATGTAACTGAACCTGCATCCACCACTTCCTCTGGAAGTTCATTCCACACACGAACCACTCCTGGTGTAAAAAAATTTCCCCTCATCTTTTTTGCCATGGGGAAATAAATAGCGATTTCTTGAAAAATGTCTATTATTGCAGAGGAGGAGGTGCTGAACGTCTTAAAATGAATAAAGCTGGATATATCCATGGGACTTGATCAGGTGTATCCTAGAACTCTGTGGGAAGTGAGGGAGGTGATTGCTGGGCACCTTACTGAGATATTTGTATCATTGATAGCCACAGGTGAGGTGCCGAAAGACTGGAGGGTGGCT